CTTATTGTATAAAAAAATATCGTATGTTATTAAAACCACCACCATCACCGGTTTTGAGGATCTGTCAGATATATGTGTTTAGATTTAGATTTAAAAAAAATAAAAAAATTAGATCAGAGGTAACCAAAAATCAATTTTGTTAGAAGAAAGGTTGTCTCCGATTGACATGATTTTTGAAAACCACTTGGTACAAATTAATCTATGCCGACATCGATCAATAATAAAAACCGATGAATAATATATTTTCATTACAGCCTATAAAAGTCCACTGCTAAACACAGGCCTCTCTCCTAGATTGCCTCAAAGGTGGGATTTTGCCAAAGTTGCCACGATTGGCATACGACGTCTTTTATTATTTTGAGTAGTTGTCAGGAAGATGCTGCCGCCCATCTCCTGTTTCAGTTTCCCTCTGTGTGTAGTGGATATTGTAACACCACCACTACACGGTTGTAGGTACATAATATGTATAATATAAATTATCTATATTCAACTAAGCAAATCAATCCACAACAAAAGGGCAGCAAACACTTCATATACTATCATTTAAATACTTCTTAAGGGCTGTGAAAGCTAAACTGTTTCTAATAAATTTATATGGAAATAATAGCAGTAAATGACTTCACATTTTTAATTGTTCAAAATTTGCAAATTTTTAATTGGTTTTCTTATTATGTCATTTTATTGATGAGGGTGCAACAACCTAATTACTGAAAGCAAGTTTGAAAAAACAATTTACGGCGCCTAATTACTGCCATTTTTTTCAGTTATACTTTAGTACGATGTTACAGTAACGGAATAAAAGGAAATAGATCAATTCAATTAAAAAATCAGAGGTAACTGGGCAATGGGAGTACCACAACTAAGCGAGGTACGGCGATCGAAGAACGCGACATTGCCGCCGGCCACGCGACGCCCCCATACTCGTGTCAGGGTCGAATCTACGTTAGCCCTAATAATTGGAAACAAAATTCTCTCTGCCAAAAAGTTACATAACTTTGGCTTCAGGGTTTTATTTAAATGGCAATGTAATATTGAAATTGATGACCTGCAGTGCGACTGTGTAACTCAGTTGGGAATTATGGTTGGATTCGTTTTAACGTTTGACGTTTGATGTCGTTTTGTGTTATTGATTATTGTATCAGTTTCGATTATTAGCCGGTGTCTTTTTACAGGCTTTATATAATGTTAATCTATATGCATCTATGTATAAATATGATGGAGTTTTGTTATTCCTTTTTTCTCTTACTTCCAGTTGTCTGAATAATGTGATTTTTATAATGAATATGATACATTATAAAAAATCATATCAATCATATTATTGATATCCCTATAAATAATTATAGGGATATCTCATCATAGGTTTCAGTGGTGATTCTCACCGGCGACTATTCCCACTAGCGAAATAGATACACAATCGCTTTGCTGTAATACGAATGAGATTAATATTATTTAGTCCAAATATTCCCAATAAACTCGCACATTATTGGAAAGTCCTACTATGTCCAGCCGTGGACTTGGAAACCTTTGTTCAAAAGAAGCCATTATTTGCGCTATATAAAATAAAATCTGGATTCGTTACACTGTTGATATCAATGAATACATATTTAAAAAAGCTGATTATAACAAATACATAAAAATAACAATCTGTCCTCTGACCCTAGTGTGTAAGTAACGAATACTTATGTCAATGTATTCAGACAACGACGACTGCTTCCTTCAGAAAGTGTAATTTTGAAATCCGTTATCCCGGTATTTTAAGGTGCATGTAGCCGTGAAATGATCTTTTTTGAGTAAATGAACTCTTACGAGTAAATGAGCCTAAAAATAAGAAAATACCAGATAATATGTCTTAGACATAAATATGTGCACTTCAATCTGAGAATATTAAAATTTTCAGGGGCGTTAAATATGATGCGAAAAAAAATAGAATTTATTATCCACTATACTCGTCTTAAGTCGATAGCAGATACTAAAGTGGTAGATTCATACTGCAACTGTGTTAGGGCTGCAGGACGCATATCATGATGGAATATTATTGTGCATTGGTTCTCAGCAAAAAATTATTATCGAATTTATTATTCATTATACTCACCTTATGTCGCTATGTTAAACTTAATACAGATACTATACGTGGTAGAGCCACGCTGCAACTGTAATAGGGCTGCAGCACGCATACCAGAACGGAATATTATTTTGCATTAGTTATCAGAGGTGACAGTGCATCTGTATTTTAATTTTTTATCCAGGATATATGTACCAATAAATGTCTATCGACCACAGCGTGAACTTATAAAGAAAAAAAACATGTGTGCAGTTCACACGTGGTAGCAGTGAAACCATCAGAAAATTGCGAGTAAAATTGCTTTGTAATGGCGCTATCTGCATCATTCTATAGGTAATGTCATTTTATTGAACAAAAATTGATTGACTCTGAAAGTGGTAAGTAAAATAGACCCTATATATATATTGGTAAGTTATGAAACCGTGGATTGTTATGAATGGATAGGATATGATAATTTTATTCATCATGGTTAATTTAATTTAGTTAATAATTTTGTTAATGTTTTTAACTGTTTATTTTAACCGTTCATTGCGTGTTAGAATCCCGCACGGAACCAAGTATTTGTATGGCCTACAAATAATTGTTTGTCGTTGTGAAATGTATGTATTGTGAAATTAATTAATTTATAAAATCCTAGTGTGGAGGTAACGTTTTTTAATACATATAACAGTTAAAAGTTATATTAACCATCTCTAAAACATCGCACAAAGAGGAGTTATTTGGAAACACTGTTTACTGTATTCTATCTCATTCTCACGAAGGCTAAATCCTATAGATGTAGGTATATGTTTGCCTTTTAATGTCTCTTTTTCCTTTTATTGAATTTCAAATTAAAACGGTTCTAAAGAAGTTTTCACTTCAAAAATACTTCACTCCCAAATATTTAAATAGTATAAGTCAAGAACACTGGCTCTAAGCGTTAACTTTTACCACAGTATTAGGCTATTATAGGCTAGTAGGAAAAGGTGTCGCATAATATATCAATGTAATTACATTATATATATTACGTTCGTAATGATATTGAAGTAAGGATTAAAATAAAGTGTCAAACCAATCCTTGGTTACGTAATGTCAGTATTAACTCACGGCTAGAAAATACTCACAGGGCTCCTTTTCTGCCATGATTTGAACAACCCTAAAAGATATTGCAATCTTCTAATTTACATAGGCAAGAGAGCCAGTAGTTAAAGACTGTGAGATATTTCGTCGTTAGAGGTAACAAAACAATTGTGGCCGTCATTGCACTTTGCAGATGCTCACGGACTACAGTACTTCATCTTTTGTTATTTGACAACATGTACATACGTCAACGACGTTGTCTTATACGCCGACGATCAAACTAACATCAAACAAATAAGGCTACAGATGCGCTGATGCCTCTTAGGACTAACATGAAATCACTAATAGCCTGTAATTATACATGTCCTCTATATCCTTCAAAACGGACCACAGCTGTGTACGCACTACCATTTGGCGGCACCAGCAAAAATAGGTAAAAGAGTGGTACCTGTCTAGACAGACTCCTAAACATAAAAGGAGTAGAATTTTCAGCTGAAATAAGAATTTGTACAAAAAATAAATTGTTGGTTTTCAATCTACATCCAAACCTTAGCATTACATGGGATACGTATTAGTTCGGAGAAGTGAAGGCCTTTGAATTTTAGTGGGATAGTAGATACTTTAATACGCAGTAGCATAACAACTACGCAGTTGATGGCTTCCAAAAATCTTCAGTTTCTTTATTGTGGTCAAATTCGACCACAAGAACATAAACAGATAATAAATAATATGCGAGAAGCCGAAGCATCGTAATGTATGGACTGAAATATTTGCGAACAAAATTGGTTAGGTACCATGACATTGAGTCATTAAGCGCGTTACGTTCACGCATATTAATACGAAGGAAGTGTATAATGAGACAGGATCGTAGGAAGTTGTTACAGGAATTAGAATACATAAAATATTTAAACGAGATACGTTAGGCTGTCATGTACTTGAAACTAAGCATTTAATTTGTCTTTTTTTATAGAATGAGGGTGATAAACGCGCACACAGTCCACCTGATGTTAAGTGGATGCTGTGGCCCATAGACATCTACATTTATCCTCGATTAAGAATCAAAATGATCCCTGCGAACTAAGGTGGATTGCCTCGTTTTAATTAAAAAGGATCTCCAGTTCTCTACACCGCCATACGAAACACAGCAGCATTAAGCTGCTATTTTACCCTAGTATTCTGTGAGAGCGTGGTCCACCCCAGTCGAGCCGACCCATTCGTACTAAAACCATAGTATAACTGAAGCTGTAGGCTGTAGCACGGCTCTAGCGTAGAGCCACATGTCTGACATTAACATTCTAGGTACCAATCTATGATTCCTTACTTTCCTTACCTATATTATACGAGTATCTACTTTTAGTACAGTAAACTCGCGTTGTTACTAAGTTTATTTATTTCCTTTAATTCAATATCTATTACATAATGTTTTGTTGTCATTTGTTTTCATGATTATAGTCATTAATGTTTTTTTTAAATATGGTAACACAAGAATAAATTTAAATAAATGCTGGGCTATACATATTATTACAACCATTTAAACTTCCATAACTAGTAAGTAAACAGATAGGAATTGGAAAAAGAGTCACGACAATTGATTTAAAAAGTAAATAAATAAGTCTATGGTCACGACTAGTTATATAAAACGATTTTTAAATTCTTAGTGACGAACTTATACGATTAATTGGTACTCCTAAATTATTATGATAAAAATAATAAGTTATGTACTTCTAAAAAGGTTATTCAGGTAGGTTGTCTTATTTGACATCCATCCTATCAAAATAGAGTTTTGCTCAAACGACGCCGTAGAAAATTATTCAATTATTAATCGTATTGTAGTGTGCTATTAAAACCATAACTTTTCTAATGAACGATTATTACTTACTTTAGATCCCGGGGTAAAGTTTTGATGATAACATAGATGCGTTTTCTGTAGCGATAGACGCAAGGTGCGATCGCTAGGAGAGCGAAAATCGCAGCTTTGGAGAGTGTGCTTAGCACGGCCGCCATCGCTGCAGCCAGTGCCATCAGAGCTACGAGAGCTGCCAAGATTGCGTCCATGCTGGCGTCTAGCCCAGTGGGGCGCCGCGCGATATATCCGCTCACCGGTTTACGATAAACAATAGTAACACTAGCACACTGCGCCGACGAAGGCGTCCGCGGACAACCAACGGTTTTCTATAAATGTTAATGCGCGAAGCGCAAAGGACATGCGCCGCGCGATGCAAACGAACGCGCGGCGTCAATGGCGGCGCTCCCCTCGGCGCCAGATGCACATGCGCGACCAACAGCTGATCTCTCGGAAGGGATCGACGCACAAAAAAAACTACCTAAACAACAATATATTCTAGTAAAAGTTTTACAAAAACGTTACATGACCGGTTGTATCGGTTCTATTGACATTTCAGCCATCACATCACATTTAGACATCAGTTCGAAATTTAATTAGAATTAGGTATGTAGCTTTATATATCAAGAAGATTTATCACTTGAGGAAAGAGATTTCATATCATTTTTAAACACATGAATAACCTATATGTATTAAATCTTTTGCAGAGCCTCATGGAAGAAAATATTTCTGCTAGTAAACTTTCCGAGCAAAATAACCTTATCTTATTTATCGAAGACATAACAAACAAACCATATTTTTTTCAATCTTGGAACTACTTATGCCGCACTCAGTCGTTATTTTTGCGATAAGCAGAAATATACAATTTATAGGTACTTACTCAAATTCTAATTTATACTACCTAGCAGTTTCAATAATTAGCATAATGCGATCTGAGTCAGACTCCGTGTGCGGTTTTTTATGCTCTCATATTAATTTTATAACCTTGTTATTCAAATTTTCAAGTTTAGTCTGTTCTTTAGATTAAATATGGATCTAACTCGGTTTTTTATTTAAACTTAAATTTGGCAAGGGTGTATACGTTTATTGTATGACGAAAAAGGTAATCAATCAATCAAATCAATTGTTACGTACTCCTGATCCTCCACCAGATGAAACATCCAGGGAGTCGATGGATGTAGGTGGTTCAAAACCACGCTTTGAATCAATCTATCGGTATGGACTTCCGTGGATTTGTCATAATTACCACATCGACAGGGGTAAGGATTTCCAAAATTTTACTTCAAGATTAGAGAAAGATTTATCGTAAAATGTAGAGGAGTGCACAGGACGTTGAGAGGGTAAGGTTTTAAGTTAGGATAATGACAGGAGCGAACAATAATATATAGGGGGATTTGATATATTAAATAAGACGCTGAAGATAGCAGAAAGAACATGATTATTCCAACGAAGACGGATTGTGATCCACTTGAGGTTAGTGCGGTATTCTGAGACATGGTCACATATGATATACAAATATGAACCGCAGGTATACAGAGAATTTGAAGTCGCTCAAGTTTGTTAAGTTGCTCCTCAGTGATATCTAGAAAATTTAGTGTAACAGGTTAAAGTTGTCATTTTTTAAAAATTTAAAATCATCCTTGAACTAAATAAATATGTCTTGGGTTTATAAAGGGTTCAGTTAACCCAAATGACCGAGTTCAGTCGAAAATACATGCCAGATCCTTGTTGGTACATTAACTGCTTTAGGAAGATGGACAATGATGGTTTGTAAATATAGTACGTGAAGGTAACATATTAACCGGATGACTATATTCATCCGGTTAATATGGTCGTGGAGGAGCCATGGTAGCTCAGGGGTTTAGTGCCCGCTGTAAATTTCACAGTACGCGAACAACCCGGGTTCGATCCCCGCCGGCACCAATGAAATTGTTAATTGCAATTTTAAGTGCTGATTTACCACGTGCTCGGTGATGAAGGAAAACGTCGTGAGGAAACCTGCATGTCTGAGAAATAAAAAAAATTATTTCGGAAACCTGAAGTCCGCCAAAACGCATTGGGGCAGCGCGGCGGACACTTCCTTATCCTAAAACCGTCTCAGAAGTAAGAGGTGGCCTGTGCTCAGCATTGGGACGTATATAGGCTATAACTTCAATATGATCACTTTCTTATAACTCAAAAACTACTAGTTTAAGAACCAGTGAACGGCAGACTTACGGTATTATTTTGCAGCTTTATTGAAATAACGTAAATTATAAAGAAAAAATTGTACATGTCAACCTGTCTGCCATGATCTAAGGCGGTCCCAAGGTCATGGCAGACAAATGTTATTTTTCAGTAACTTTTATTGAATATTTCAAGATATCAAAGCGGCAGACATTACTTTCACATTTTTTTCAGTCCTTTCTTTACACCTTTCACACCTGAGCGTCTCTATATCAACCGCCGGTCAAACTAAAAAGTCCCCATTTCATGTACCTCAGGTATAGTGGATTAACTGAAAAAAAAACGTGAAGCTTATTGAAATACCGTAAGTATGTCGCTCACTGGCTCTTAGACCAACATCCCTATTTGCATAGATGGCTCTGTAACAGAAACTTTTTTTTTATTCAGTATAGATTATAAATAATACTTATTGAAAGTCACTCTTTTGTTTAACTACCACTGGTTCGAAAAAAAAACCTTGTCCTGTGAAGAACCAGCAAGAAACCCAGCGGGACTTTTTTCATGTATGTATATAACACAAATTAACAACACAAGAAATGAGAAATAACTTGGTAGCGATCACTTCATTTCCAGGGGTTATTATCATCCATAAATTCTTTAATATTATAATAACCCTTTTTATACAAACATAGTTTAATAAAGTTTTTGAACTTTGAGCAGGTCAAATTTTGTATATTTGGTGGAATTTTTTGGTAAAAGCTTATACCGCATTATCGCCCTAAGAATAACTTTCTGACTCGATGGAGTCGAGTAACTGGTACTACTAGCTTGTGTTTGTTCCTAGTATTTACAGAATGCATGTCACTTATTTTTTTTAAAACTACTTTTATTTTTGTGTACGTACATTACATTTTCATAAATGTATTGAGAGGCCAAAGTTAATATATTAATTTCCTTAAATTTTTGTCGCAGCGGCTCTTTGGGCTTTACATCATAAATTGCTCTTATGGCCCTCTTCTGTAAAACAAATATAATTTCAGTGTCAGCTGCGTGGCCCCATAGCAATATGCCATACGACATTATGCTATGGAAATAGCTAAAGTAAACTAGTCTAGCTGTTTCAACACTAGTTAGATTTCTAATCTTTTTTACGGCATATGCTGCAGAACTAAGTCTGCTTGCTAGTTTTGATATATGGGGGCTCCATTGAAGCTTCGCGTCTAGTGTGATTCCAAGAAAAATGGTAGTATCTACAAGACTCAGTTTCTCCCCATTTAAAATTACATTAGTATTTAATTGTTTGACATTTGGAGTCATGAATTGCATACATTTCGTTTTAGTGCCATTTAAATGCAAATTATTAACATTGAACCAATTTACTAATTTAGATATTATAGCATTATTTACTTCGTCATATTTTAGTAATTGTCGACTTAATTTGAAAATTAAAGAAGTGTCATCTGCAAATAATACTATATCATAGTTATCCCCTACTATGTAAGGTAAGTCATTAATGTATACAAGAAACGGAAAGGTGCCGATGATTGAGCCTTGAGGCACGCCCATTTGTACCATCGACCCAAAAGAGCTCATACTGTTAATGACAACTTTTTGCGTTCTCTTCCTTATATATAAAATAATTAATTTAAAAGCATCACTTCTTACACCGTAGTGTTGAAGTTTTCTGATTAATATTTCATGGTGAACACAATCGAAGGCTTTGGATAGGTCACAGAATATACCCAAAGCATCCTGTGAATTCTCCCTTGCATTAAAAATATATTTAATCAGCTCAACACCAGAATCAGTTGTCGAGCGACCCCTTGTGAAACCAAATTGATTTTTAAGTAAATTATTAAAGAAATTTAACATTTGATCAAGAATATTTTTTCAAAAATCTTACTAAGTGTTGGTAGTACAGAAAAAGGTTTAAAATTGGCGGGGTCTTGTGTACTACCAAATTTAAATAAAGGTATTATTTCACTATGCTTCATTAAAATAGGAAACACAACAGATTCGATACTAGTATTAAAAATAATAGCTAAATGAGGCGCGATTGTATCTATTATAGACGCAATAACTTTAACGGAAATCCCTCACAGATCCGCAGTTTTCTTAATACCAATAGTTTTAAAATATTTTACAATATCTTTTGATTATACTTTATGAAATGTAAAATTCTTTGTACACGCATTTACCTTTTATTTAAGTAAGGATTCGGCGACGGCAGGAGAATAATTCAGTGACTTAGTGGTTAATATCGGAATATCAAAGCCGATCTGTTGAACTCTCTCTTTGCGTCCAACTCGACTCTAGACGTCGGGGGGAACACACCGCCGACCATCCCGCGATGTCAGTGCTCCATGCCGGATGTGCGGTTTACACAGCGCTCGGTTTACAAAGCACTCTTCTCCCTGGACGTCAGCAAGTCGAGTGGGCCCGATGGAGTCCCTCCCATTATGCTGAAGACGTGTGTTCCGGAGTTAGCACCGGTTTTAACGCGTCTTTTCCGGTACTCCTACTCCCAAGGCGTAGTCCCGAATTCATGGAAGACAGCTTTGGTCCACCCGATCCCTAAAAAAGGCGACCGCTCAGTAGTGTAGTTGTACCACTTCTAGACCACCTGAGTCAGACGTGGTTCAACGACGTTCGTCGACGCCCGATCCTAAAAAAAAAAAAAAAAAAAAAAAAAAAAAAAAAAAAGTTTTGGCATGCTCTGATCACGAATCCGCGGTCCATTTTTGTGTAGAATGCACGGTTCCGGAGATGTGTAGATCAATTAGCTAATATCTAATTGATATCCGGTAAGGGCCTCCACCGTCATTAGCGTCCCATTGTTCCTATTTCTATTGTTCTATTGTTCCTTAATCACCTTCATTGCAGCGTGTGCGTCGACTATATCAGTGCTATTGTGTTATAGTTCTTTGTTTATACAACGCTAATCTGAATCATCAATAAAACACATTACATAATTTTGTTACAATTTTTATTTATAAAATACAAAATCTTATTAATTATTATCTATAAAATAGGAGCGAAACATCTC